GGGAAAGAGGGAGGGAGCGCTCCATCACTGGAGATGTCCATCCCAGACCAGGCAGCCACTGCGAGGGGATGTTGTGGGGAGCAAAGGGTGGACAAGTCCCTTCCAAACATCTAGAGACAACGGGAAAGAAGCAGGGAGCCCCTCAACCACCTCCTGTCCTCAAAGAGGGTGGCTCACTAGGACATGCTCTGCCCACAAAAGGGATGGCAGCCTCTTAGTTGTTTTTAAACACTGTATTTTTAAAAATTTCTTTAAAATATTTACGACAGTAAAGGTCATACTGTGTGACAGGGGACAGATGCCTTTGATGTATCCCCCCTTCATTCCTACCTCAAAACAAGGTTAAGGCATAAATTACTTGGCTGGGCACCAGGCATGCCTCTTGTCCTCGGGGCGCTGTCGTTGGTAGTACCACTTGTCCCATGGGCTGGCAGATTAGACATTTGCCACCAAGGTTGCACAGGCTCCGGGCGTTCCTGCACAGGCTTTATCCGGTGCATTCCAGGGAGAACCCCTCAGCACTGGTCCAGCCCTTCTCCCCCATGGGTGATGGGTGATGGGTGCTCGGAAGGGAGGGATGGGAGGCCGTGAGAGGCTGTGTGTGTGTGTGTGTGTCGGGAGGGGGTGATGCAGGGAGGGGAGGCCCCCCACCTCTACCCCTGCCCACGGCCTGCAGCCTTGCCATCGCATCGGGACAAGCTGCAGTGGAAGACGAAGTGGGAACGTGGAGCCTGGGGATTGCGTCATCCACACTTCCGCCAGGCTCCCAGGAACAAAAGCAGCAGGAGGGGTGGCAGCTGCAGGCCTGCAGCTGCTGAGAGCATGTTGGGAGGGGATGTGGGCGGTGGTCAGTGTGAACGCACGGTGGGGATGCGGGAGAGCCCGCCCACCTCCGCATCTTGGTGGGTGCCCAGTTTCCTAGGTCCCAGCTGCCCGTCCATCACAGTCTCCGCGTCCCAGAGTCTGTCTTCATCCAGGCCAATAGCTGTCACCGCTGGGTCCCTCAGGCAGGGGGCGCTCCAGGGACCTATCTCCGGCCTGGGGAAGGGGTGAGGAGACTCGGGAGCCATGGACAGCGTTGGGGTGGGAGGACAGCGCAGAGTGCAGATCTGCTGTCCCCTTAGGTCCCACTGGAACTAGAGGCCTGGAGAGGGCAGAGTGGGTTTGCATTTGTAGTCTTCCCCTCTGGGTTTCTTCTGAGCATGGGGTGATGACGAATTTCTAGCACCTTAGTGATGGGGGCAGCAAATGCCCCCACAGAGCCTGGGGGCGGCTTTGGGGTGTACCTTGGGAGGGGGGGGGTCCCTTTAAATCCCTAGGGATCTGTGTTGGAGGTGCCATGGCTCCCAGTAGGACAGTCCCTCTTAAAACTGACTTGAGTTCTTTTCAGAGGGAGCAGACTTGGTCTCTCAGGAGATGAGGTCAAGTGCAAAGCGAGCCGGCGTCCTCTCCACCCCAGCTCGGTGGGCCACGGGCCTGCACACTGCCTGGGCCCGTGTCCTGGCCCCCATCAACTCTCAGCCTCCCCCGGAGCCTCACTCCAGCACTTTGGGGGTGGGGTCCAGGCCGGGCTCCCTCCTGCGCTTGGCACTTTTAAAGAAGCCGAGCTGTGGGAAGGCAAAGGGAGAAATCTCAGGGGTGGGCAGGGTGGACAAGGCCTGTCTCCCCTTCCTGCTCTCCCTTCACTCACTCTCTTAAGGCTTCTTTCCTCAGAAGCCTTCCCTGAACGCCCCAGCTCATGCTGCATATCTCCCCTACCACCGCCAGGCTGCACAACGGGCCACTTAATTGGTGACAGGGAGGCTGGAACCAAGTGGACGGAGCCTGTGTCAAGAGGCAAGCAGTCATGCTCTTTGACGCTGCCCTAGTCAACACCCCTCTCTGGGCCTCCTTCACCTCATCTATAACAGGAGGAGGCTGAGACCAGGGGTTCCTAGCCTGAGGCTCAGAGACAGGGAAGGGCTTTTGGGGGACTTCTTAACAGCCTGACATTGTTGGAGAAATTTTGTGGCTGCGTGTGCTTGCTTTTTTTCTGATCAGAGGAAGCCTAGCTTTCATTAGGTTCTCAGAGGGACCCACAAAAGGGTTGGAGCTGTAGGCTGAGTGCCCTCTGGTGGCCCTAGCCCATCTGCCTGCTGTGGTGAGGAGTCGGCAAGTTCTGGGGAGGAGGCTGGGTGGGCCCCAGCTCCCATGCGGAAGAGAACATGGGGACTGGCCACAGAGCTCAGAGGCAGAGGCCCCAGGCTCGGACAGCCAGGATGCTGCCCCCCACCCGCACCCTGCGGGGGCCCTCACCTTCCACAGTGCCAGGACCAGCAGCGCCAGCAGCAGGAGGCCCCCCAGGGAGCTGCCCACGATGATCCAGATGGGGATCTGTGAGTCCTCTTGCTTGGAGATCTCAAATGTGATCTGCAAGGTGAGGGGTGAGGCCAGGTCAACAGCGCTACTGTTCTGGGGCCCAGGTGGCAGCCTGGGGAGGGGCAGGAGGGTAGGAGACAGCGGGCCACCTGGTGGGAGAGCTGCATCCCCTTCCTCAGGGAGTTGCTGAAGGGATGGGTTGCACCAGCCTGCCGAGAGGCCTCAGAGCTCCCAGCCCTGGTGCAGCGGAAATCTGACTTAAGTGACCAAGTGATCCCACCTCCTCTTTGAGACGCTTTCTGCCTTAGGCCTGGGGCCACTCCACTCTCCCTGCTTTCTCCTTCTACCACATGGGCCACTCTTTCTTGCTCTCTTTGCTGTTTCCTAAATGTTGGTGTGTCCCATGGCTCTGGTGAGCTCGGGGCTGACTTATGGAGTAGGCACCGTGGGCATGGCGCCCAGGGTCCATGGTGGTTTTAGGGGCCCACAGAAATGTTCTAATTTCTTTTAAAGTTAGAATCAAAAAATATAGTCTTGTCTGGATTATATCTGTCTTTATACAGACCAAGTCAGAAAATATTGCTTTTTTAAAAAAATTTTGTTTATGGAGTAAGGCCTTGAAAGCAAAAGTGCCCGGGGCCGTGAGAGCCCTAACGCAGCCCCGGGGAAACTCACTCAGTCCTAGGGCCGTAACCATCTTTATGCCTGCTGATGCTTTCACATTGCTACCTTCTACCTGGACTCTCCACTGCATTCCAGACTCATATCCAACTGTCTACTCGGCCTGCCTGGCATCTTTAACAGGTCCCCAGGTAAACTCCTGATCTCACTCCTCACCCTCAAACCTGTTCCTTCAACATCTTTCCCCTCAAAGCAAATGGCAGCCTTGTCCTTCCTTTGCTCTTGCTTCTTGTATTGGTCACTGACTCTCACTTTCACACCCACGTGGACTCCGGCAAAGTCTATCTGCTCTACCTTTGAAACACCCAGAATGTGGCCACTCCTGCCACCACCAAGGCTACCTCTTTGGACTGAGCACCCTCATCTCCCACCTGGAGACCGCAGCAGCCACCTAGCTGCCCCTTCTGCTTGTGTCTCGCCCCCTACAGTCTGTTCTTGGAATAGTAGCCAGAGGCGGGGGATTTATTCTCTGCTCTGCTCCGTCCTCCAGGTTTTCCCATCTTCCTCAGAGTGAAAAACGGAGTCCTTGTCCTGGCCTGCAAGGCCCTGCACCCTCCGGCCCTGCTTATCTCGCCGGCCTCATCTCCTCTTCTGCCCCTTGCTCTCTCTACTCCAGCTCTCAGCCAGCCGGCTGCCAGCACGTCCAGCACACGCTTGCTGCTGGGGCTTTGCATCGCTGTTCCTTCTGCTGGTGGGGCTCCCCCAACCCCCTTCGCTGCATGACACCACTGCATTTCTTCTAGTCTCTGTCTGCTGTCCCCTTATAGGCTTTCCCCAGTCTCCCTGTATAAAATAGCACCCCTCGTCTCCACCCTTACGCACCTACGTTTTTCTGGGCAGACCTTATCACCACTGACATTGTATGTATTTATGTTCGTTGACTCTTCCCCCCACCCCCATCTAGAGTGTCAGCTCCAGGGAGAGCAGGGGCTTTATCTATTTTGCTCACTGCTCTATCCTCAGTGCCTAGGAACAGTGCCTGGGACAGAGCAGGAGCTCATTCAATGCGCTGAAAGCCTGAACGAACGCACCCACAGCAGCATGGCGGAGCCCGGCTTGGCCAGTGACTCTCTATTCACCTTGAGGCAAGCCTGCTCCCCTCCGCCTTACCTCACACAGCCTCCATTTCCATATCTGAAAAATGGACGTAGGGATGCCCCTCACAGTGCCGTGAGGAGTAAGCAGGGTAACACGGCAAGTGTCTGTTACGGTGCCTGGCACATAGGTAGGGCTCTACCAACAGCAGGTCCCTTCTATGCTGTTTCCATCCCTGAAGGCTGGGAGCTGGCTCTGCCTTCCCACACCAGCACCTCGCACAGAGCCAAGGCAACAGGGGCTTAAATTTTGGGTTGCTGGCTTTCTAAGAGAAGTGAGGCATCCGGAGCGTATAAGAGGGGTTTTTGGGGGTGGGAAGTGGGAGTGGAAGGAGAAATCACTTAAACTAGTAAATGACAAATGGGCCAGTGCGGAGAAAGGGGTGGTTTGTGTGTGCGTGGGGTGTCTGTACCATGCCTCTTCTCGCTTCATTGCCTGGAAAATTCCCACATGTCTCTCAAGATTCAGGTCAAGTGGACCGTCTCCTCCAGAAAGCCCTCCCTGGACATGGCTTGCTCTGACCAACCCCCATGCCAGCACCTGTGCTCTCCCCCAGACTGCACCCACACTTCGTTGTCCTTGCCCCCTTGTCTGCCTAATTCATCTGGGGCGTGAGCCTGAGTCACAGGATGAACACCTGACAAATGCTGAAGTACGAACAAATGAAACAGCTCCTCGGGTGGATCTGCTGAATGCTGCTTCGGGCTTCTGTGCCTGCTCCCCCTCTGCCTGGCACACCCACACGCTGTTTGGGATCGACGTTTGTGTTTTATGGAGGTCTGGCTTCCTGACCAGGCCCATTTTGCTCTCCAGTGTCTCCTGGGGTGGGGCTGGTGGGTGACTGCGCATCTGGTACAGGACGCTCACCCGGAGCCCAGGCCAGGGTTGGGGATGTGGCCAGTGGAGGGCAGCAGCGTCCCACGCCCGAGACGCCAGGCTCCTTCCAGAGGACCCGCCTTTTTTTCAAGACCCAGTTTCTCATTTCCCCAGAGAGCACCACATGGAGCCTCACCCCTTTCCTAGACCCTGATTCAAGCCAGTCTGAGCTGCGATAGTCCGGCTTTACTCAATTCAAAAAGAGTTCCAGTTCAGAGATAGCTCGAGTCCCTCGGTCTTCACAATTTCAGTTCGCAGCAGACTTCATTCATTAGATTTGAGGTGCGGATGCATGGGGAGGGGAGGGTTGGCTGGCCGTTCTAGGCTGCAAGCCTGCCAAGACCCAGCCTCGCCACCCTGAGGCAGGTGGGCAGGCAGGCAGGCCTGGGGTGTACTTCCGCTTCCTCTAGTGCAAAACACGCAGGTGTCCCTCCTTCCTTGCCTCCAGGGGCTGTTGAGGTGCACCGCTTGGTGCCCCCGAGGGGCAGCGCCAATGCCTATTTCTGGCCCTGTTCTCCCCAGTTCTGCCCCTAACAGTCTGTTTGTCTCGATTTTCCCTCGCCTCTGATGCTGCACTAACTGCTGGCAGGCCTGTCCATCTCTCTCCTGCAGGGGGAGTAGGAAAACTCTTGGGGAAGGGGCTACCCTTCCCCAAGCTGGCCTGGCCTGGGCCCAGGTCTGCAGGGTTCCCAGTGCTCACCTGGCGGCTGGGATCCTCCTCGCGGAAGATGAAAGGGCTGTGGAACTGCCTCTGCAAGGCTGCATGGACTGTGATTCTCATCAACTTGTACTTGAGCTGTGTAATCAGAGGCCTTGTCAGGTTCTGGCCCCTCTCCCGGGGGAGACTCCCCAGCACCTGCCTCCTCCAGCCTGGCTCCCGGGGCTCTACTTACTGCTTTTAGGGACCTCAACCACAGGTTCCCCAGCAGATGGAAACTGATTTCCTGGTTGGGGGCCAGCCTCACATTGCAGTTGATGGAAACTACATCAGCGTTGCTGTGATTCTGAAAGAGAAGGTGGGTCTCAGGGTGAGCAGGGGCTTGGCCACCAGAGAGACGGCTCAGCTGCCCAGCTTGACCAAGTGGGGTTTTGTTCCTGAGGTAGGAGGGGCGGAGGACAAGGAAGAAGGAAGGGGATGGGGGTGGAGGACAAAGTAAGGACGGTATATCCGATGCTCCACTTGAAGTTGTGCATAACTGGGTGTATTTCAGGAACAGAACTTTGGGTCAACGTTAGGGCGCCTATAAATGTCACCACCATACAAACGCATTAAAGGGAAAATGACAGTATTACTGCAACAGATGCAGAAAAAAGGCTTTTATGAAATCCAACTATCTGTTTATGATAAAAACTCCCAGGGAACGTCCTGAATCTGAATAAGGGTGCTTATTTTAAAAAGCCTGTGGCAAGTATCACATTTAATAATGAAAAATTAAAAATAATCCCTTTAAAAACAGGATCAAGACAAGACGGTCATCATTTCTGCTTACCATTGCCCTTATAGCCAGAGCAATAAGACAAGAAAAACAATTTAAAAGGACTGAGTGGTAAAACTAAAACTATCATTACTTGCAGATACCACCGTCCTAATAGAAAACCCAAACACATCATCAGGTCATTAAGATTTATTAGGTTAAACTTATTTGTGTTGTTCCCTCACAGCCACCTCACCCCACCCAAGTTCAAGTCTTCAGTAAAGTGCACTACACTCCAAAGACACTTTGTGTGAGGCATTTGAAAATGAACAAAATGAAAATAGCTAAGATTTTGATTTGGGTAAGGAATAGAGAAGGCACCCTCAGAAATTGGTATGTGGGGACAGAGGCAGCCCTGGGAACAGAAACCTGGACACTAGCAGATGTCTTGCGGAGGGCCTCAGGAGTGGGAGCTGGGCTGCCTTCCATCTCTGGGGGCAGGGAGGCCCCAGGTGATGTGGTCAGTGTCTCCAATACAATCCCCGTGTGGTCTTGCTCCTTCCTCCTCCCTCTGCTTGTCCGTATCCTACCGGCCCTTTTAGGCACAGGGGCAAGTCCACGACCCCTGCTTCTCTACTCGAGGTTGTCTGCTCCACTGCCCCTCACTTGACACGTATCCCAGCCTCGCTACTTGGCTTCTTTACACTCAATCCCATGTCTCCTGTGAGATGGTGAGCTCACTAAGGGCAAGAAGTATCTTTTCCTTATTCTGTGTCCTTTCGGTTTGAGGTTGGGACATAGAGGTGCTCGACAAGCTCTTCTGGACAAACTACTGGACAAGGAGCTCAGGCAGCCCCCTCTCCTCGTCCCCCCGGGGCTCTTGGTGCAGGGGACACTCACCAGCTGTGGGGCACGACTCAGGTCCTCCTCCGTCGGGGCGTGCCGGTACTCAGTGCTGTTCCCCCAGATGTTACAGGACGTGTTTGCCTGCATGAGGACACACGCAACCAGCCTCACCACCAGCACTGGCAGACTCGGCGTCCCAGACACGGTCCTCTCTCCTCCTCTGCCCAGAGAAGGCGTGGCTGGCCCTGGGCTCGGGAGAAGGAGCTGAGGTCTAGGGACTTGGGGGCACACCTAAGGATATGTTTGTCCCCTCCCCTGTGCTGGCCCCCCAGGGCATGGGTACCTGGTCAGCGAGGAAGCCCTTCAGCAGCAGCAGCCGGTTGCCACCCCTGGTTGCGATGGGAACAGTGAACTTCATCATCACCCCGTGGATGGGGAACAAGCCCAAGTTTTGGATCTGTGGCCAGAGCGGGGGGAGGTGTCAGTACACCCAGCAGCAGTTGGGGGGTGGAGGACGAGGCTCACGGGGCGATCCCCCCAGCCAGGCCCCTTCAAGCCCCCTGGCTTTTTCACTGTAGATGCTCCAAAGCTCTTCCAGATCTCAGCGGGGGGCTATAGGATGAAACTGCATGAAAGCTGAAAGGGATGGGCTCCTGGAGGCTGAGGATGGGTCACTCGGGGGCCACGAGGCTGACAGCAAGGGTTACTTCCCTTTTCACCCTCTCTTGGCTGTGGTGCTGGTGGCCTCCCTGGACAGAGGTCGGGGTGGAGGTGGTGACAGCAATTCCTTTATTGTGAGAAATAATCAGTAACTGATGCAGGATGTAAATAGTGTGTGTGTGTTGGTTCACATTCTAGCCATGACATATTTGGTGTCAGAGCCACAGTGATCACAAATAGGGCTTTGGAATCAGAAAGCCTGAGCACATAACCTGGGGCTGCCACCACAGATGAGCTGTGTGGCCTTGGGCAGGTTACTAAATCTCTCTTGGATGAGCCACTGAGGCATCTGCATATTTCCAGCTGTCTACCTGCTCCCAATTCTCACTCAGCAGTTCAGGGCTGGGGAGATCTTGGGGCACACCATGGCAGAGACTCTAAACTGCTTCCTAATTCTCCTCTCCCTCCCTCCTTAGTGACAGAAAGCAAGACAAAAAGGCATATTTCCTAGCCTCCCGTACAGCTGAATCACACCGTTTTGGACAATGAGAAGTAACTGGAAGTGCAAGGAACTGCCAAGGAGGTTTCTTAGTAGGCAGGGGTCTGGTCTGCTCTTCTCCCCTTCCTTCTTCCTGGAATGAGAACGTGATGGCTGGAGCTGCAGCCACCTTGGACTATGAGGTGAACTTGATAGGCTGATGACTGCATGCTGAGGATGGTGGAACAGACAAAAGGAGACCCAATCCCGGATGACTCTAAAGCTGCCAACTCTGGACTTCTTTTATGGGAGAGAATAAACCCCAGGGTATTTAGACCACTGTTTTTTTTCATACTTTAAAAATTATAAGCAGCTACACCTAATCTTCACTGACACGTCCTCCCAGTTCAGCCCCATAATTTTCCAGATGAGGACTGAGAGCCCCAGAGAGGGGAAGGGACTTGCCTAAAGTCACACAGTGAATGGGTGTCAGGGTTGAGGCTGAACCCCAGGCGCTAGCAATGATTCCAGATTCCTCCCCTCCTAGATGGGGGATCCTCAGCTCCTGTCTTTTGCTGTCTGCTTGACTCCCTTCCAGACTAACCTTGAAAACACAGTTGAAGGGAGGCCCAATGCCATGGTATCTCTCCAGCGAGCTGTTGGGCTTGACCTCGTAGTGGCTCAGGCTGCTGCTCCTGCAGGGACAGAGGACAGGGTCACCATGAGCTCAGTCAGTGTAGGCTAGATGGATAAACGAACGGAAGAGGGTGTGGGCATGCACCCGGCTCCCCATAGACCACAGCAAATACGTTTCCTCTTGTGTCCATTGGGAATGCTGTGTTGGGAAGGATTCTGAGGCTCAGCAGTAATAAACTCTGAGATCAATTAGCAATGTCTGCCTCGTGTGTGGGATGGCCATGAACCAGAAGAGCAAGTTATTTGCCACCCCTGCCCTTGCCTCCTGCCCAGGGGCATGGCCTCTTTTGATCATGAACTTGCCCACTGTGCAGCGTTCCAGCCTCTAGTGGTGGCTGTGGGAGGGCCTGAACTTTCTGTCTGTTTGTGGTTACCTTCTGACTTCTCTGCCCTCCTGGGAGCTCTCAGGGGGCAGACTGGGGACCACCGGCAGACTGAGGTGGGTGGGCGGTGGGAGCAGTCTGCCCTGCAGGGAGGAGCATTTTCTCACTGATGCTATTTAGAATTGCTAGTGCAAAGTGGTAATGAAATACAGATGGACTTTTTAGCAGGTTTGACTATTTTAAAATTCTCTGCAGACCATTCCTCCGATTATAGCCTGCACCTGGGATGGATACTGCCTGCTGCTCCAGCCCTCCCCCTTCCCCCACTGCGGGAGCTCCCTGGGGACCAGGTCCGTATCTCTTCCTCCCCCCTGCTGACGCCATCTCCCCTCCATGGATGAGGCGGGTGCACTCTGAAGGGGCATACCCGGCTGCATCCCATAGTCCCTCAGCATGAGGGCCCTGGGGCCGCGGCCCACCTGGTGAAGAGCACGTCAGCCTCATACTTGAGGTGCAAGCGTAGGAGGGCCGTGTTGTCTTCCTTGGTGCTCTCTTCTTCGTCACTGTCACTGCAAGGAAAGCCGGCAGAGCCTGTGGTCAGGAAGGGACAGCCCTCCCTCCACCCAGCTCAGGGCAGCAGGGGGGTTCCAAGTCGGGCTGAGAAGGAGCATCCCCGTGCGTCTGGGTCTGCTGCACCAGAGCAGCCAGCCAGCAGGGTCATCAGAGGTGTCTCCCGGGAGGGGAAGGGCCGGGGAGGCAGGGGACCTGGAGACCTCAGCTTTCCCTGCCCTCTTTCTGGGTGCAGCACATCTGGGCTGGAGGCTGGGAGGACGGCGCCAGCTTGGTCACAGCGGCCTGTGTGCCCTCCTCATCTGTCAGATGGGCAAATCCTATGCTACCTACCCCCCCCCCCCCCCCCC